AGTAAAGCAGTATACATAGAATAGCTCGGAACTGGGAGCGTTGTCCGCTCCCCGGGCAGAATATCTTGCCCGGCGGGAGTTCTCTCCTTTTCATTTCGACGGCTACCGTGGTGACCAACCCACGTGATAAGAACACGTAACCGACAACCTTTGTAAATTACAACTTCAAACCTTCGTCATCGTCCTCACGTACCCCTTCCATTCGCTCCCGAGCAGATATTGTCTGTAGTCTACACATTCTGCAAGCCAGCTTTACAAAGTTTCATCGCAGCACTGGAATAATAATGCTTCCTGTTCTTTCAAGCTACTCTCTGTGTTAGAGTGTTCCGCATGGTTCTGTCCCATACTGCTCGCCTCTGCTTCTTGGCACTCTCGCAGACTAGTTGCCTTCTGCTTGACTCACCGCAGACAACAAGGCAATTCCCTGGCACTTGGACATTTTTCGACATTTTAGACTGCACTATCGACCTCCGGTCTGAGCTGAGGGGTGATGTGGAGGCTCTGTCGTCGCGCCACTAGCGAAATAAATAGAAGCCTAAATCGCGCTATCAAAGTTCCGAAGAAAAGCAGGATATATAGAATAGCTCTTAAATACCACTTGTCCCCCCCCCCCCCCCCCCCAACAAGCTTTTGACCGACCTAGATTGCCTCCTGGCGGCTCAGGCCGAGTGTTCTCCCATTTTATAATTTGCCTTAGTTAGGCGCACTTCTCAGCGGCTACTCACCGCCTGCGCCCCCTTTCTCCAAGGTGGTCGCTTCGGATACGGCAGAAAGGCCCTCCAGGCCAAAGCCAGTCCCAGTTGGTGTTTAGTGGGTAGGCACTTAGGTTTTCACAATGAGTTCCACTTCAAGGAGGGTAGCCCTTTATTTTGCTTCTGGGCGCAAAAAAAACCACTTGGGGCGTTGGCCGCTCCCCGGGCAGAACACCTTACCCAGTGGGAGATCTCCCCTTTTCGTTCACCGGCTACAAGATTAAAAACCATTACCGTTAACATTACGGCCTATCAAAAGTCCACCGCTGAACATGTGCGGAATATTGAAAAATGATTTGAAAAATGAAAAATGATTTATTGATTTACAATGATACAATTTAAAGCAGTCGCAAGGGCCCCTGTATTAGGTTGGTTACCTGTGTTACTGGGTACCCCGCTCATCCACCAAGACTATACAATATTAATCAATAAATAACAAAAGGCAAGGCATGCGCTAGCATTAGGGAGTAATGTAATTTATAATATAATAAGTGTGTGTGTGTGTGTGTGTGTGTGTGTGTGTGTGTGTGTGTGTGTGTGTGTGTGTGTGTGTGTGTGTGTGTGTGTGTGTGTGTGTGTTGTGGGTATGTGAGCAGTGCTTTAACAACTGGTGAGGCTGTTCCAAGTATAAAAGTTAAGAATATTAAAACGAAATTTTACGTTTTCCAACAAAGTAACACTATTGTACCGAAGGCCTCTATTTGAATTAGACAACATTGCTATTCTATGTAAATAGCAGTTTATAAAAAAGCTAAGACAAAGAAAAATATTTATTTCTATATTATGTAAATTGCCGAGGTCAATAGAGACACCGCAGTTCGCTTTTTTAGTTAAAAATTGTTTTTAAGGTTTCCTCATTTTAACAAAAATTATTCGGATTCGTTCGTTTTGACAGTAGGAAGGTTGTTACGTCGAAAAATTCATAAAACCTTGCACTGGTGCCAATAGCGGTTTATACAGGGTTATTCTTTAAAGAGTAGCCAAATTTTAAACTTAAGTTGAAATATATAGATAATGATATACCGTTATTGCAGTTTTTGAAAATACGAGTAAATAAGACTTCTACTTTTATTTGAAACCAGCTGTTCTCCAGGACTTCACCCGCCTGGAATTTACTACGATTTCATGGGCTTTAATTATTTTGCGCGGAACTGTAATTTTTTTTTCTAAACTAAAGGTATCCTAAGTTACTCCTTATAACATCAGCTATTTGCCAGTGAAAGTGCCGTCAAAATCGGTTAATCCGTTTCGGAGATTAGCTGGAACAAGTAGACAGACAGACAGACAGACAAAAATTAAAAAAAATGTTTTTTTTTGTTATTACTGCCGTATATACTTTCATATATATTTAGTAAAAAGCAGGTATTTTAACATTATAAACAGACACTTCAATTTTATTTATTTGTATATGTATGTAGATTACCCATAATATTGAATATGATTTATGGGCAACAACGTTTTTGCCTACCGAACGACCCTTACGAATGTGTGCGTACGCAGTATAATCATTTATTACATATATTAATACATTTAGTCTCTACATGTCTTGCAATAAGGTACAGTCCTTATTTTTAGTGTTTATTATAATAAATCAAATGAAAATTTTTCTTCGAGTAAAATTGTAGTCATTTTATCTAACAAAAATTGATTGACTCCCAAGGTGATACGTAACATAGACGCTAGACAGCGTAAACACAACTCATTATTATAATATTATCTCATTTTCCCGCTGGCTAAATCCTATAGATATATAATTATGTTTGTCGCCTTTTAGTATCTATCTTTGTTTCATTACGTTTCAAGTCACAATGATACCAAAGAAAACTTCTTTAGAATCGTTGTGATTACAACGTATTTATTTATTGAAACATTTCAATAAATACGTTCTTTAACTTTTTAAAGAAAAATTTTTCGGTTACTCGTTTATTTTTTCGCCATCTACACGGTCTGGTTTTGAGAATCGAATATAAAATTATTGACCTTGGCCTCACCACAGGTCTGACGGAGTTGGTCCGATACAATGTCTGAGTCTTTCGTGGGAACTAAGACTGATCCGTGTGACTGATTCAAAACAATTCGATTCCGATTCCGAAATGATAGATATTAATGTGGGGTGTTGCCAGTGCATTCTAAGTTGCATGTTCATACGGCCAATTGAATGGGTGTACAAGGTCGTTGTTCTTTCCGAGGAGGTTTCCTGATAGTGTCTTGATGTGTGTCACCAACCTTGCGGCGTGCTTACAATACCCGATGTGTGTTTTTTTGTATGTTTGGCTGTCCATTTGTAGGTCACTGCATCCGCTGTTTATTAACAAACGTATATAAAATTATTTATAAACCAGCCACCCGCCCCGGCTTCGCTTGTATAGGAACTACGAGTATTAATATATTTTTTTTATACAATGGTAAAATGGTGACAAACGACGTGGACTGTGTGCTTGTTTGTCACCCTATCCTATAAAAAAGCTGATAATAATACAATATCATAATATCTTGCAGTATTGATCCATAATAAAAATTAATAAACTTGTTATAATAACCTTAACCTCAATAAAGTAGTTAACACTTGTTTTTAATCATTAACTTATGAATCATGCAATGACGAATGACAGTTGTGGTAAACCATTACTTATTTTTGGTTTCCTCGAATTGTTACAATAACAACAGAATGTTACTCAAGACATTTATGGAAATCCGGCCAAAGCGGAAACTTAACTAAAAATTTAATATTTAAATAGTGATCTTATGTTTTATGCAGCATTTCTACATAAAATATTAGATTTTTAGCCAATATTGCTAATCTCGTGTAGACCTAAAAAATGATGAAGAAATTTTAACGTGGTAGAGCCACTCTGCAGCTATTTTACGGTTATAGCATGAATGTAACCCATTCGTGTGTTTTTTTAGCTTAACCGGGGAAGGACTACGCTCACACAGAATACCAGCGTTAAATAGTATCTTAATGATGCTGTGTTTCGTATGGTGAGTGTAGACAAATGTTTTTTTTTAACTGGAAACGAGGCATGTTATCGTGGTACTAAGGGGTGACAACGCATCTGCATTTTGATTCTTAATCGCGTATGCAAGTAGATGTCTATGGGCCACAGCATCCACTTATTAGGTGTTAACGTCGCCATCGACTCTCCGCTGGGTTGACCTGTCGTCAAAATCTCCCAAAAACTTCGTAATATGACGTATCAGAATATTGTGAAGAAGTTAACATTATAAAATTATATTGGATAAATTCTTATTACTTGACACTGGCAAATGTGTAATAGTACGAGTCCATGACCAAAGAATAAAAAACAGAGGCAGTGATAAGGATTGCCGACAGAAGTGAAAACTCAATGACATATGCGTTTACATGTACACAGGTTGCTATACTATGCGTCTCCAGTCTTGCGCGTGCGCGCAATACGCTAAGAGCATGTCGAGGTCATCGGTGACGCGAACCCAAAGTTTTTCCCCTGCTAAGAATTGCTCAACGCGGCTAAAGAAGTTTTCAGATAAAAAAAAATGGAGACCCGAGTACAACAGTAAACTATAACATTTTCGTGACGCAGTGGTGTATATAAATATTCTCAATATTATTTACTACTGATCCACGGCGGCTTAGTACGGGAGGCGCTTGGGAACGGCGGGCTGAAGCTAAACGTAGCGAAGACGGAGTATATGGTCTCTCCGTATAATGAGCAACCGGGATAACGCTAGGTAGAAGAAGAAGAAGAAGAAGAAGAAAACAGTGCCACCTCTCGGTCTAACATAAACCACCCAGAGAACCAATCATACACACACAAAATTTCATCAAAATCGGTTGAGCCGTTTTTGAGTTTTAGCGAGACTGACGGACAGCAATTGATTTATATATAATAATAATAATTTCTTACTTTAAAATAAGTAGTAAGTTGTTACAATATTGTTGGGTACTCTCTTTTAAGTAAATAGATACCTGTAGTAGAGGGACCCGTTCTTTCGTAGTAAAATTACATTACTACATTAAATTAGAATTAAATAAAAAAAAATCTACACAATTTAAAACTTCCAATAAGGTATAACTAATAATATTTGTGTGATTGTGTGCAAGAATGTTTGTGTATGTGTGATTGAGTGAGTGAGTAAGTGAGTGAGTGAGTGAGTGAGTGAGTGTGTGTGTGTGTGTGTGTGTGTGTGTGTGTGTGTGTGTGTGTATGGATGAGTGTAAGGCACTGTATATATATAGAGATAATATAGAAAATCAGATACACTAACCTCAAGTTCTTCACCATACGGTCCTTGCTGGGCAGGTCGAGGAAGTCCAGTAAGAATCTCAGACGCTCGTTGATCTCCCGTGTCTCCATACCGAAGATCCAACCGAAGTACATCATGGTTTCTTTGATAGTGAACTCGCCGTACAGGGCAATCTCTTGCGGCATGTATCCCACGCGCTTGCCGGGCACTCCTGAACCTGTGATACGACATAAACACTTAGAAATACATTGCCTTTATTTAATAAAAGGAAAATCTCGCCAAGTTCCTTTCTGATTCTTCCCAGGACAGAGGTATCTTCTGAACCAACCGGGTAAATAAGACGACGAAATAAGGAATGAATTTTAATAAGTATTATTTATAATCTGTACCTATTGAATAAAAAATTCCGTTTCATTTCACAAGGTCTACCGCAGTAGGGATGACTTTTTGAAGCGATTCAAAATGTATTCCCCGCGACTTCACCCGCGTGGAATTTATTACGACTGGATTTCATGGGTTTAGTATTTTTTTGCGCAGAACCATAATTATTTTTCTAAAATAAAATTAGTCTTAGTTACTCCTTATAAATTTAGTCATCTGCTAGTGAAAGCCCCGTCAAAATCGGTCAAGCCGTTTCGGAGATTAGTCGTAGCAAACTGGCAGACAGACAGACAGACAGACAAAAAATTTAAAAATTGTTTGTTTGTTATAAGTACCGTATATACTTTTATAGGATTTAATAAGAAGCTGTTATTTTAACATTACAAACAGACACTTCAATTTTATTTATTTGTATAGATTTTTGTAACTATTAAATAAATTCAACCATTTGTAATTTGATATTATAATTAATATTCATTTTGTAAGAAACAAGAAACCCAGCGGAACTTTTACAATTATATATACAATCTATATAAATAAAATGTCAGAGGTTTAAATAAAACTAGTTTTACGGATTTTATCGCGTACATTAACTTATTTTATATTCCCGACGTTTCGAGCACTTTACAACATCTATGGTTACGGGAGAGACCGGAATACGGGGAATGGAACGTCAAATACCTCAGGTGTTCTAATGTCATAGTTAACCACGGCTACCTCCATATTAAAAATTATTAACTTTTGTTCCGATGTACGTAGTATGAACTTACAGTATCTTGAAGTCTTGCAGTTGTATGTTTGGGTTGGGATTTAATTTGATTAATTATAGGATCCCAAGCAGATGGTAGCACCCAGCCATCTTCTCTATTGAAATTAGGATCTTTTTAGATTTCAATAGCCCCGCGAAACATCCTTGGAAGTAATCGGTGTTCTTTAGCGAGGATTTGTGGTCTATTAAATCACTCCTGTCGCCAATTAATTTGACGTAATGCTAGTTGAAATAAATATAGATTACATTAATGTAAATTCAACCTTAAACACATAGCCTAAAGTTGTTTTCACAAAGCTACGTACAAATTGAAAGCGCACCCAAATGTTCGAGTGGGCGCTCATTCGGTAAGGACATTTTTTGTCACTGATTGTGTATCTAGTGTTTTTATTAGTAATCGATGTATGATAATGATAAAAGTGACTTTTTAGTACTCGTAACACGTTTACTGTGTAGTTGCGGTGTAATAATACGAGTATCCACTCCCGTGAGTGTCGTCAGAGGCGATAAAGGGAAACATATCAGGGTATGGACAGCAGCGTCTTTCTAATAACGACTAAAAATAAAAAACCTGCGGTTGCCAACGCGCTTGCCAAGCGTGGCAACTATGGCAAATATCTCCCCTATAAGGCAATCTACGGGGAAGCCTATGTTGTGTGGACTTTAATAGGCTGTACCGGTAACGGTGACATGATTACATTTCATTGGCTTTTTCGTGGGTTGAATGATTGATCTAGTGGTCGTAAACGCGGTTGCTGATCATAAGATCCCGGATTCGAACCCCGGATCAGGAAAATGGCGGTGTTTCACCTCCGTGCCTCGAAAAGCATGTAAAGCTGTTGGTACTGCACCTGACTTCCTTCCGGTCGAATTACCGTTCTATCGGGCAATGAGAGTGCACCAGTGCTTGCGCATACACTCGGTCACTGTAATCCTGTCCTGCGCAGATGGCTAGTCTTCGTTGAGACCAGCCGCCGTGACCGAAATCTGAGGACATTATTACCTTTTGTGCCCGGCTTGCCCCCGAGCACCCATATCTCTCCGCTGTTCAGTTTCCGCCGGCCCACGATACACGACAGCAGCGTGGTCTTCCCGCAACCGGACGCACCGAGAAGGCCGTATCTGTAGAAAGAAATTCACTCAGTTACTTTTATACGTGGTATGGCCATACTGCAGCTATATTATGATTGTAGAACATATGGGTCGGCTAGACGGTGGAAAGACCACGCTCTCACAGAATAATAATAAAATAGCAGCTTATTGCTGATGTTTTGTATGGTGAGTGTAAAGAACCGGAGACCTTCTTCACTGGAAAAGAGGCATTCAGTCTTAGTCCCCAAGGGTGACAACCTCACTAAAATTTGACTCATTCGAGGATGGATACGTATAAAAATCACAGCAACACCCTAACCATCAGGTAGGTTGTGTGCTCGTTTGTCACCCTTACCTATTTTATAAACAAGTAGTAAAATAAAAAAAATTGTACAAATATGCATTATTAAGGATAACTCAAAAACTACTGGTCAGATCTTGATCAAATTATATGGGACCACATGAGACGCACTAGCTTTCAAAATCAGTTCACCTAGAAGAAAGTTCGTAAGTAGCACACATAAAAATACAGTTGAGTTGAGAACCTCCTCCTTTTTTGAAGTCGGTTAACAGCCTAATACTATGTGTTTAGTTATGAACGCCGAACGACCGGTTTCTGCACGTTCATCACTTAATTTCTACACCTACAAATATAGTTATTGAGTGTTTTACCTATTGTACTCGGTACGTACATATATTATAGCACCTGTCATGCAAATGTCAGTAAACAGAACTCGTTTTAAAATAAATCTAAATTATACAGTATCCACAAATAATTAAAATCACGCCACTGAAGTAAATATCAGCTGAGGTTTACTTTTAAATACAGGTTAAACCAGAGAATAAACGGTCAAAGTTTCTCGTTGTTTGAATTGAAGAACGAAATAAATACTAAGTCTTTTATCCTTTCTTTAAAATAAATTAGTTAAATTTCAATCATCCAATTATTTCCACCGTGAGAATATCCAGTATCCTATATGGTCACGTAGGTGTCGCAAGAGGCGACAAAGGGAAACAAAATATGATGTGTATAGCAGAGTTTTCCAAATAACAGCTAGAAAATAAAATATGTTGCTGTTATCGGCGTTCAGTGCACTCTGAACTACCAGATTTCGGTAACTTATCAGGAGAGTTACACAACAGTTAGTTATATAATAATTGACAGCCTCGTTGACCTAGTTGGTAGAATAACGTTTAAAAAAAATATAACGTATACTATGTAGTTCATTTTTAACTCAGCGGTACTGTAGATTTTTAAATAAATAATAATGGAAATTCTGAGATATATGTTATGGAATGTAGACAGAATAATAAAGCCTCCAAGTCTCCGGCAACGTCGAAAGTTACTGCAAAAAAAACTAACTTTCACTCGAACATCTGGTCCAAGCAAATCCGTGATTCGCAACTGTTTACGTGTGATACGCTGTATTTAAAACAAGTTCATATCAGGGTTGTCAACAATTCTATTTTACGTAACCCCGACGGATTCGCCCCTGTATCGTTTAGGTAGTTTACATATATTACATAAATTGCACAAGGACAAACATCCAGACCCATAACAATTACTTGTAGGCCATACAATTACTTGGTCCGTGCGGGATTTAAGCCCTGCGGCCCTCAGCGCCGTAACTGATTTTTTTAATAGTATAAGGTGGCAAACGAGCACACAGTCCACCTGATGGAAAGTGTATACTGTGGCTCATAGACGTGGTCGCAGATATCCCGCCAAGTTGATTATTAACATTATCAATAATCCGCCATCTGTCAGATGACACATGGATATTGCTTTTTTGTATTGTGTTAGAAAATGTCTGTGTTATCAATGGAAAAGACGAGTAAATTGAGTATAATTTCGTAAAAACTGTTTGACAACCCTAGCTCCTAATGGACGCAAGCTCAACGGTCTGTTTATTAGGAGCTTGCGCCAGAACAGCGGAAGCGTGCAAGGACGATACTGTGTCGAAACTATTCACATTCTATTTTACTCTACTAACTCAACGTGGCAGAGCCTTGTTGCAGCTATATTATAGTTGTAGCACGAATGTGTCGGCTCGACCGGTGAAGGAACACGCTCTCACAAAATACCAGCGTAAAGTAGAAGCTTTATGCCGCTGTGTTTCGAATGGTTAGTGTAGAGAACCGGGGACCCTTTTTACTGGATACGAGGCATTCCATCTTAGACCTTAAGGGTAACAACGTATATGCCTGTTGATTTGTAATGGAGAATAAATGTAGATGTCTATGTACCACAGTATCCACTTACTATCAGGTAGACTGTGTGCTCGTTTTTCACCCTTATTCTATAAAAAGAACGTTAGTAAACTAAGTACAATCAGCAAAAAATCATAGATTAATTTGTGAAACAATGAATATAAATACGCACCGAACATTATCATCATCATCATCATTACAGGTTATCACAATTCTACTGTTTAACATAGGCCTCTCTTATATATACCACAAATTATGACCCGGTGCGTACAGGGTACTGTATCCATCAACGCATTTTTCATTTTGTTTCACTGAACAACAATCGAAGTTTCCAAATGATTCCAATGTATATGTATATATACCAATATATCTATGTGTATATGTAGCGTACCCTACACGGAGCGTGGGCTGCTCTCCGGGCTTATTACACTATGCTAAATATAAGAAGATATTAAGTAAAGAGTTTTGGCAGGAACTTGACCGGCGCGGTGGTTTGCAGCTCTTGTATTATTGTTAAAATAATGGTTTGAAGTGGACTTTGATATGTAAAAGTGGCGCCATTTTGTGTATTAAGTGTCTGTGCATGTGAACTATTAATGGAAACGGTGAAACAATTGCTCTGATGGTGATGTGATTCTCAAGATAAGGTGTCTCTCTGCTTAGGAGCCTTGAGATACCATCGCTAACGGTCAGCTGTCTGCTGGCTCAAGTTGCCGTCAAAATCTCCCAATGGCTGCACAAAGTGATGTATCAACATATTGTGAAGCAATGTACTATGAATGATAATTATACATTGTAACTTCAGGCTCAGAAGGGCTAGAACCCAGAGCCGTGAAGCCAGTTATAAAAAAACATATTAAGTATATATCTTGACAAATCTTTTAGGTTTTGTCAAGATATACTTAAAAACTTCTTCTTCGTCATCAGCCCGTGAATGTCCACAACTAGACAAGGGTTTTTCTCGTTGTAAGGACGAATTAATCGTCACTCTTGGCAGGCGTTCTTGGTACGGCTGATGGATTCTCTTACGCCGCCCCTACTATTTACTATACTTGTATAGCATATGTCGCAGGAAAATAGATAAAGCCGTCATATAGTTATATCCCTAGGGATATAGCTATATTCCGGTTCATAACTATCTTACTAAATGAATCTAGTGAAATAATTACAATTGTAAACTGAATGTACAGAAGGAACAAATTTTGCAAATTTGACGTTCCTGTTGTGTTGTTGTTCATGTTCCCTTTTTGACAGTAGGTTAAGTTGTGGCTGGGGTGGCCCTTAGGACACCCTAAAGCCGCGGACATTATAACGATATAAAATGCAATTCAAAAAGTATAAGTCAAAAGTAGTTTTAACTAACAAATTACAAACAAACTACAATTATAATTATTTCATTAGATTAGTCTAGTAAGATTGGTATGAACCATTTTCATATAACATATGTTACGGTGTATAGCTATATCTGTCCTCGTCTTTGCTTGAATTTGACTACGGGTGTCTATGGACTGCAATAGTCACTTAGCATCAAGTGGACTGTGGATTCTTTGTCACTTAATAACACATACATAAACGGCAGAGTCAGGAAGAGATACCTTAGATGAAAGTTTATCGACCAAATTGGCGATATATTGGAAATGGACATTAAGAGAACCCTTAACCGACGAGCGTGTATGCGTAGATATATGGATGTAAAGAAGGCGAGAAAGGTGTGTCAGAATCGCGCCAAATGGAAGTCCCTGGTCTCTGCCTACCCTTCTGAGTGACAGGCGTGAGTATTTATGTTTATGGTACTTCGGTTTCATAAAAAACTTGTCTTTTGTGTACATTAAAGAGTAATAACAAATACCAACTACATCTCCATCATATTTCCTGTATATTGTCGTCATGTTTCCAACGGATCGTACCTGGTCGAGCTTGAATCTCGATACTGGGAACAATGACGTAAGTACTCTTTGTAACAATAGAACGTGAGAGATGCGGATAAAGTTAAATGCAAACATGGCCGAGGATACCTTAGTTATCTGTTGCGAACCAAAAGGGCACAAGAGATCCGCTTAATGTATATGTATAGTTTTACCGCTTTGTTGTCGATATCATATGCCTTTGAACTAAAACGTTTGCTAACCACTTGCTAAAGCGTATGCTCGTCCTCTGTAATGCCTACAGCTGAGTACAATAATCTACCGTCGTCGGTCTTTTCATTCTTTTATCTTTCATCATTTTAAAAGTGATATAAAATTCATAATAAAACAAAATATCTACACAAGAAAAAGGCGTATAATAAGGCCTATGGTGAAATTTAGTGATTAATGAGAGAAGAAAAACCAAATAAAAAAAATTTACCACGATACGTTTTCTTTTTATAGAAAAGGGGGCAAGCGAGGATGCGGCTCACCTGATAGTAAGTGACTACCGCTGCGCATGAACAACCGCAACACCAGGGGAAATGCAGATGCGTTGCCGGCCTTTTAGAAAGGTGTAAGCTCTTTTCTTGAAGGTTCCTAAGTCGTATCGGTCCGGAAAATTCGCTGATGGTAATTGATTCCACAAAGAAGTTGTGCGAGGGAGAAAACTTCTTCTAAATCGCACAGTGGTGGACCGCCAATCATCCAGATGGTATGGATGGTAACGCGAGTTATGTCGCGATGTGCGATGGTGAAATTGAGCGGCTGGAATTAGTCCGAACAATTCCTCAGAGCACTCCCCGTGATAGATGCGTTAAAATACGCAAAGAGATGCAACATCTCTACGCAGTGCCAGTGTATCAAGCCGATCAGAAAGAACTCGGTCGTCGACGATTCGAACCGCTCTGCGCTGGATGCGGTCAAGTGGAAGGAGCTGGCACTGGGGTGCCCCGGCCCAGGGATGAGAACAGTATTCCACGTGGGGCCGAACTTGCGCTTTGTAAAGTTGCAAGCGATGTGCCGGCATGAAATACTGTCTCGCTCTGCTGAGCACGCCAAGCTTTTTAGAGGCCAATTTGGCCTTCCCTCCCAAGTGACCACGAAACTGCACACTATTCAATATGTCGACGCCAAGGATTCCGATGCTAGCTGAGGCAGCAAGGGGAGTGCCTTGAAACTGAGGAGATACGACAAAGTGGTTCTTTTTAGCGGTATACGTGCAAACTTGTGTCTTCTGGGGATTGAACTGGACTAGATTTAATCGCCCCCAATCCGAGACTTTGTTAAGCAAAGATTCGACTTCAGACACAAGTTTGTCCCGGTACTCGGCGACGTTTTCCCGAGAAATTCATAAAGATAAAGATTACGATTTTAGATGAAAAAAAGTGCAATATTACAAAACATACCTACGATTTATTTGGACTTATTTTTAGTATTGGTGCAGTGCGGTCGTACCTTATGACTAGCTGTGCCCCGCGGTTTCACCCGCGTCATCTCGTGTCCGAGGTGCGCGACATGACCTAGTTCAAGCATTTTATAACGGCTAGGGTTTAAGCGTCGTTCGCGCGCCCAGCCAAGTATTGAATTATTTTAATTTTACATTATCTCTTAAACTATGCGTCCAAATAACATGGTATAAAGAACAAAGTTTATCTTCATAAAATTGTCTTGATGATGTACCTTTTGTCCGTAAGGATAAATAGGCCATGCCTAATAATAACGCTCATAAATCACTTTTAAATTTTCAATATTTTTTGTCACAAAATACCATATTTTTTATCACAAAATACCAAATTATGGCTTATGTATAAGAAATAGACATATGGTATCGCGGACGTTTTTTTAGACGGAGTAAAGGTCTATATTTTTCTAAAACATTGTATTTACGTATCCCTAACAATAACACCAGCGTACGCGGATAAATCATTTCGGGAGTGCTTTTTCTTCTGACTTGCTTAACACATATCCATATTTCTTTATTCTTTTTTCTTTATTGTACACACTATAGGTTGGTAACAATTATTAAATATTTAAATAAAATGTACAAAGGCGAGCTTAACTCTAATAAGAGTTCTCTTCCAGCAAACCTATTGGGAAAGAGAAATAGTTTTATATATAAAGTAAGTAAGTAGCAGCGTGCGTACTTAATAATTAACATAACACTACTCAATAGAAATTGGCTATAAGTTACAGTTAACAATTTACATATAAGTGTATAAAATATAAGTATTATTTATTTTCTTATTTCTATTGATTTACATACATATATATTAATAAATACAATAAATATATACATATATACACATACACACACAACTCTGGTGGCTGGACGCGGGGTAGCGGACCTCTGCAAACTTGTAGAGACATTATCGTGCAATAGGAGTTTGTTATTATCTCCTTCAGCGAGTGCGGTTATTATAAATACGATTTTTGTAATTAAGGCCTTATTTTTTTTTTTTTTTTTTTTTTTATAGGAGAGGGGGCAAACGAGCATGCGGGTCACCTGATGGTAAGTGACTACCGCCGCCCATGAACAACCGCAACACCAGGGGAATTGCAGATGCGTTGCCGGCCTTTTAAAAAGGAGTAGGCTCTTTTATTATTATCTTTATTAGCCGATAGGCCTTATTACCCGCAGGCATAACACCACGGCAACGTACTGTACGTTTCTTACTGTCACTTTCTTCGAGTACACTACGACCTATTACGCAAACTTACAAGTTCCTCTTTACTGTTTGAGAGACAATAGATGACTGGGTTACGGGTTAAATGTTACGGAGATAAATTCAGCGGTAAGAACAAACGTAGGAATTTCAAATTTAAAAGAAAAGTAGCAGCTTAATACTGCTGTAATTCGTATGGTAAATGAAGAAAACTGGAGACCCTTCTTAATGGCATTCTATCTAAATTCTCAAGAGTAATGCGGATACGAATACAACTTGATTCATAATCGAGGACTAGCTGTTTCCCGCGACATCGCCCGCGTTAAATTTAGTGTTTTTTTTTTTTTTGCGTGCAACCCTTATTATTTTTCTAAAATAAAAGTAGCTTAAGTTACTCCTTATAACATCAGCTATCTGCCAGTGAATGTCCCGTCAAAATCGGTCCAGCCATTTTGAAGACTAGCCAGAACAAACAGACAGACAGACAAACATTTTTGAAATTGTGTATTTGTTATAAGTACCGTATATACTTTTATATGCATGTAGAAATGTATGTAAAATTCTGTTATTTTGACGTTGGTCCTCCGCAGCCGTCAGCCGCTTGCCTAGATGACAAAGGATCATACTCCACTGCCCCATACACTGCCCGAGGAAGTCTCGAACCTTACAGTCAACCTTGTACAGCTCGAGGACCCTCTTAAGCCATGTATGAGGCACCGAGTCGAATGCCTTTTTGTAGTCTATCCAGGCGGCGGAGAGGTTCCGACCAAGAAGGTTAACCACCTTGCCAATGACCGCGTCAATGAGGAGTGGTTCCTTGGTTCCACGACCACCGCCCCGACATCCATTTTGTAACAGATACTTCATTTTTATTTATTTGCATAGATGTATAGATAGATGTAGAGGTCTACAGGCTAAAGAATCTAAAATTAATTTAATGAAATGAAAAAGTATATTCTATTATATCCATTGATTTAATTAAATCATAAAGTAGTATACACTACCCCATCTCGTCCCGTGGGTTCTTAAACCGCCACTACACGGATATTATAAAACAATTGTTCAGAAAACCTTTAGATAGATAGATAGACGATACATTTAGATTTATAAATAAGTATTATTTCCAATAAAATGTGTTAAATGATAAAGATATCTGTTATGTCATTAAGTCACGTTCGACGCCATTAACGCTTTAAATCAACATGACATGGCGGTACGTGGAAACAATAATTGAGCACGCTATCTGTTGCTCGTGAATTGTTTTATATTGCAATCGTAAATCTAATTTTATAACGGATATATTACTGCTTGTGCATTACTTGCTAGTGGTGTATTTGTGCAATTTTTTGAAATGAAAATTTCTTTAATACGTTGTTGTGATTTGAAACTTGATGAAAAGAGACAAACATATATGTGCATCTATAGGATTCATTTCAGCCTGCGAGAGAATGAGATAGTAGTATACAGTGTTTCCTATTATCGTGCTCTCTTTTTTTAAAGGTTTCATTCTACCACAGATTAATAAATAGCATTCTACCGCGTGTGAATTGCATACATGTTTTGTTATAAGATGGTAAGTAAATGCTGTGGCTCATTGACATCTACATTTATCCCCAATTGAGAATCAAAATCAAATCAATAAGAGAGCGTCATGCTGTTCGCCGTCACGGTGTACGAGTCGGTTTTACTGTCAATGCGCGCCAATAGATGTGTCACATCAAAAGGAGAGAAACAATTTATGTGCTGTAGTGACTTTACAGTATTTAACTGGCACTTCTTTAGCTGATACCCCATAAACGAAATGTGGTGATGTATTTCGCAAATCCCTACCATGGACAATTGCAGTACTTAATGGTAACAATAGCTTTCATACCATCCCTAGAATCTTACGTCACAATACCCGATAGCATCTAGGAAATCAATTGCATGTAATTAATCACCTCTATTCTCTGAGTAATAAAGGTTAGATGGCCCATAAACGGCGAGTTGGCTTGTAAGCAAACAATGGGTTGTTGTTTATTAATGTAATTTCGTGAGGTTAATAATCTTTTGTCACTTTGCCCTTGGTGCTGGCGCGTTGCCAGAGCCCTTCCTAGTTCGTCTAGACCAAGTACTATACAATGACTCATGTGCATGGGTCATTATCCAAGTATTCATGAAACTGTTTTTTTTAATATAAGAAAAGGCAAACGAGCACGCGGCTCACCTGATGATAAGTGACGACCGCTTACGAAATTGATTAAGTTTGATTATTATTGCGGTGGAATAACTTGACCTATCTTATAAGGGTGTAATTTATCAGTCGAAAAAGTATCCCGCAAAAACCATAATATGAAAAGGCGACCACGTTCATTTTTTTATAAGAGTGGCAAAACAGCATGCGGCTCATTTGATGGTAAGTGACTACCGCCGCTCATGAAAGACTACAACACCAGGGGAATTGTAGGTGCGTTGCCCGCCTTTTAAGATAGAGTAGGCCTTTTCTTGAAGGTCCCCAAGTCGTATTGGTTCGGAAAAATCCTGGTAGTAGCCTATTCCACAAGGTAGTTGTGCGAGAATGACGTATTGCAAAACTTAAATAATAGCATCACTTTTGTGTTTAATCTTAATATTAATTAAATGCTTTTCTTCGCGTAGTAGTTTGGTATAAAAACGATATGTTTTTAATTAACAATTATTGTGATATTTTTACTTAAATTGCCAAAAATTATTAAGTAAAGTCCAAACTCTCTTGCTTCGCGTTTGAGTTGTGTAATAAAATAAATTTTACGAATTTTATCGGGATTAATACGTGTCGTTTTTCTCACACGGGTCAAACAAAAAGATCAATAAAAATCTGTGCCTCTGCTACTCTGTCTTTTTCCCACAGCACACAGTCCACAGCATCCACTTAGCATTAGACGGACTGTGTGCTCGTATGTCACCCTTATCCCATAAAAAATACGTTTACTCACATTGTTCCCTTAGCTACAGTCATGTTCAAATTGCTGAGAACATTGTTGGGCCGCTTGTTGGAGCCGTAGTGTTTGAACGCGTGCCGCACGCAAACCGCCTGCTGTCGCTTCTGCCACACCTGTAGGAAATAATGCTTTGATTACTTGTGTTTCATTCAAACAGATTTCATTGAGATGTTTTTTTACGTTACCCCCACAATAGGATTTTCTCCTGTATCGTGGAGGCAGTTTACATACATAAATTTCACAAGGACAAACGTCCCGACTCTGAACAATTATTATTTGTAGGCAATACAAATACTTGTTCTACAAATTTGTACAATCGAACCCACAGTACCGCGGAGCCGTCCAAGCCGTTTTGTTCCTTCACATATCAATTTATCTATCTATTTAATATATAAAATTCTCGTGTCGCGGTGTTTGTTACCAAACTCCTCCGAAACAGCTGAATCGATTTGTATGAAATTTTGTGTGCATATCGGGTAGGTCTGAGAATCGGCCATCTATTTTTCAAACCGCTAAATAATAAGGGTGACCCACCCCTAAATATTTATTTTTATATTTTTGACAATTTTTTTATTTTTATTTTATTATAATTTAGCATTGAAAGATACATAAAACTTTAAATTTTCACCCTTCTACGATCAACCACTGGTTTTCAATCGCCATTTTTAAAACTAAAAATGGCGATTGAAATATTTATGCAATATATATATTATGGGATATTTGCAAAATAAAGAAATTCATTCATTCATTCATTCATCATTCATTCATTCATTCAAAACATATTTCCTTGAAATAATGTATATGGCAAAACAACGTTTGCGGGGTCAGGTAGTTACAGCCTATTAAAGTCTCTGAACTTAGGTCCTTCCCATAGATTGCCTTTCAGGGAGGATGTCGCAATAGTTCCACGCTTGGCATACGGGATAATACTTGGCAATCGCCGTTTTTTTTTTAATTATTTTGTGTTATTATCGGAAGCATTCTGCTGCTACTCATCTCATGTTTCAGAACCCTCTGTTGCCTCTTACGACACCCACGGGACGATGTTATATATTTATTTTATTTATATTTGATTTATTTAGATTATATATTCTTACACAGCTACTACATTGTTCACGAACGATACACAGTCAATGTTTCAAGAACATACGAAGTCTGCCAAAACGCTAGTAGCGTAGGTTTTTTTTATACGATTAAGGTGACAAACAACCTGTCCACCTGATGGTAAGTGGTTGCTGTGGCCCATAGACATCTACATATATCCTCGATTACGAATCAAAATGCAAATGCGTTGTCACCCGTGAGGACTAAGATGGAATGCCTCGTTCCCAATAAAAAAGGTCTCCGATTCTCTACACTCACTATACGAACACAGCAGCGTTAAGCTGCTATTTTACGTTGGTATTCTGTGAGGGCGTGGTCCTTCCCCAGTCGAGCTGATCTATTCGTGCTACAACTATACTACTAATATAGCTGCAGCATGGCTCTATCACGTATTTAAAGGTTACGTTACATACGTTATTTTACGTTATTTTTACACGAGTTCAAAAAAGGTAAGTACTATAACGTGATTATATTGATTGCAGTAAGTTATTGTGTAAGCAATACAAAAATATCTTGAGTAAAATAGTTTTTATACGTCTAAAATATATTATAAAAACAATTATGCAATATTTGTAAACAATTATGTAAAAGTTACATACACATATTATTTTACTAAAGTGAAGCGACCGTGAAGCATAGGAAATATTTCCATCGCTAGTTTCTTCACTTTGATATGGTATCTGATTCTTTAACAAAATCAAAGTAGTATTAATGCCGAATGGTGAAGACAAGTGTAGAGAAGCGGAGACCATTTTAACTGGAAATGAGGACTTCCTTCTTAATTCTCAGGGGTGACAACGCATTTGAATTTTAATTCTTAATCGGGGACAGATGTAAATGTTTATGAGCATCTTTCTGTCTCTGAATATGCTTTTGTTAAGTTATGTGATTTCGTTTCACAATATTCGGCTGCATCACCAACAGTTATAAAAAAGATTTATTGTCGTTCACCTTAAGTTTCCAAATATAATTTATTTGTAGTTGTACGTTACTGTAACAATATTAGATTTAAGTGCAATAAAGAGCCATTTATGTATCCATAATATTGTACTCTTTGACTTGTAGGTATATGTGTACACCAAACACACATGTATAAGATTTAAAATAACAATAAATATGTACACTGTAATTACAACGCTACATTATTAAGGTACTATTTAGCATTTTAGCATTTGTCTAGTAATAAAATATTGCTTGTTGATTTAGTACTCTTTGCGTTACCCAAGGTGTAACAAGCGTTAATGATTCATTACAGATGAAATTGCCCATTGTGTTTCGTATGGATAATAAGCGATTGTTCGAGTGTGAAACGCAGATAAAAAAAAATTTGGACCAAATCATTTTAAGCGGGAAAAACTCTGTATATAATAATGTGGCGGGTGAGAATACCCACTACACTATATCTTCCCGTGGGTGTCGTAAGGGGTGACTGAGGGAAACTGAAACAGGAGATAGACACCAAGGTCTTCCTGCTAACAACTAAATAATAAAAGACTACGGTTGCCAACCCACCTGCCAAGCGTAGCAACTATGGCAAAATCTTCCGTTAAGACAATCTATGAGGAAGGCCTATGTCCAGCAGTGAACGTCGATAGATTGTAGTGATTACGTATTTCATTGATTTTATTTCAATTAATAATTGAATATGTAAAAAACTACAAGAATATGTATGATTCACGAAATCATTATTATTTTCTTCATTTTCTTGATCAAAGCACTGGCGTACTGTAATATACAAGTCGCGGCACGTAAGTCTAGCGCTGAACGAAACGTGGAGAGGATGCGCACGAATTGAATTACACGTATGCTGCTGGAGAACCAATCAGCGCGTGCGATGATACGCACGAGCCAATCAGCGCGACTTATGCGCGTTAACGAATAACGGTTACCGCTAGACTTTCGTGCCGCTACTTATATCTTCCTTCATAGATTCATGTTCTTAGTGTTTTAATTAAATATTTAATTCCTTTCAGTTGTTTGAAGTCGAATTGTCATTTTTGTGCGTGAGTGAAAAAACACTTAAAAACAAAGATAGAAAGCCCCGTTAGTAAAAACTAAAAAAAGTAAAGTGGTAGTAAAAAGAGTTACCGGTTCTCTACCCTCACTATACAAAACACAGTAGCATATTTGCTGATATTCTGTGAGAGCGTGCTACTTCCCCGGTCTGCCGAGTTGACCCATTCGTGCTACAACCATAATATAGCTAGTTAAGTTAGCTAGCATAGTTAAGTACGTATAAAAGGTGGCAAGATCGCTTTTCTGTTTTGGAGTCCGCCTGGCTAGGAATCACCTTTCTACCTATTTCGGCTGCAACTAACAGCGCATGCACTGCTTTGTACGGGTTAGAAGGGTAAAGAGAGCCAGTATAATGAAAGCTAATAATCTTATGCTCACCAGATGTCGCAAGTTTTTTTTTTTGGATAGGGTGACAAACGAGCACACAGTCCACCTGATGGTAAGTGGTTGCTGTGACCCATTGACATCTACATTTATCCTCAATAAAGAATCAAAATGCAGATGCGTTAGGACTAATAAGTTGACATTGAGTTGAAGTTTTTTTTACACAATGTAATTTAAGTGGGAAGTTAGTAAGTTAGTTTTATATAAAAGTTAATCAGTTTTTAGAGTATTATATTAATATACAAAACTATGCCTCAGTGGTTTTGCTCTTTAATTTTTTGCACATTGTTATTTTGATTTTTCCGTTTCTATGAATATTTGCGGTTTGGTTTATTTATTTCCAATCTAATTAATATAAAATATAACTAATAGTACAGAGAGAAACATTAACCTTTACATTTTTCGAACAAATGAGCTTAACATTACATCTCCATATTTCTACCTCCACCCATTTTTAAGTGGCAGAAAAAGTCGTGGATGCCGTCATTACAGGCAGTGAAGTAATATAGACAGGTAAGTATTATACGTGGTAGAGCCATGCTGCAGCTATATTTCTGGTATAGTTGTAACACGAATGGGTCGGCTCAACCGGGGAAGGACGACGCTCTCAGAGAATACCAGCGTAAAATAGCAGCTTAATGCTGCTGTGTTTCGTATGGTGAGTGTAGAGAACCGGAGACCCTTTTTACTGGAAACGAGGCATTCCATTTTAGTCTTCACGGGTGACAACGCATCTGCATTTTGATTTGTAATCGAGTATAGATGTAGATGTCTATGGGCCACAGCAACCACTTACCATCAGATGGACTGTGTGCTCGTTTGTCACCCTTATCCTATAAAAAAAATTATCTTAGTCCTTACATATGATAACGCTGTAAGGAACCTTCATTGTTTGAAATTGGCTGCAGGTATCTATTGACTACAGTAACCACTTACCATCAGGTGAACTATAAATATGTTTATCACTTCAGTTATAAAAAAAGGTTTTTCACAGTACTGTTTCATCACATAAGACCGGATTATCTGAAATAATAACACCAAGACTACGAGTCTTCAGGTTGAGGACAACCTTAGTACGATTATATAGGTGTTACTACCTATAATAAGTGATAAAGACGAACGACCACGCTCTCTCAGCATTCCAGCGTCAAATAGCAGCTTAATGCTGCTGTGTTTTGTATGGTGAGTATAGAGAATTAGAGACCATTTTTATTGGAAACGAGGCCCTCCATCTTAGTTCTTAGGGGTAACAACGCATCTGCATCTTGATTCTTAATCAAGATAGATGTAGATGTCTATTGGCCACATCATCCACTTACCATCAGGTGGATTATCTGCTTGCTTGTAATTATTATTCGATAAAAAATAAGTATATCTACTCACCGTGCTATCTTGTTTATCTAAAGGCGCTGAAAATTGTATTTGGCTCATCTTGGACTCCTTCTCATCGCCGATGGGCGACGGAGGCGAGGTTTCTCTGTAAAAAAAGAAAATAATATTTATTAATTTTACTCTCTGTAAATATTTTTTTTTACTTGTTATAAATCAGTGCCTGACTACAATTCTTAATACGTACAATCCAATAATTCCCGATAAGCAAAGTCTAAATGAACCGTGTAGTGTTGAACTTGAATTTAATTTTCGGAGTAATGTTATATATAGTTATTGTGTATTAACATGATTAGTTGAGTCCACGTACGGTGAAGTTACTAAAGAAACTATTATTAAACGTAGACTTATACGTGGTAGAGCCATGCTGCAGTCATATTAGTAGTATAGTTGTAGCACGAATGGGTCGGATCGACCGGGCAAGGAACACGCTCTCACAGAATACCAGTGTGAAATAGCAGCTTAATGCTTCTGTGTTTCGTATAGTGAGTGTAGAGGAGACTTTTTTTACTGGAAAAGAGGCATTCTCCATCTTAGTCCTCACGGCTGACAACGCATCTGCAATTTTTTTCACAAATGAGGATAGATGTAGATGTCTATGGGCCCCAGCAACAAGTTTGCTTAATTGGCACTATACGGCAAAGAGTAGAGCATTATAATTAAGTTGTTGCCTTCTTACCGACGTAAATATCGTTTAAATACCATGAAAATAGTGATGCATTGACTAAGTGTTTGTTTAAGCCCATACAGGGTCGCGGGTTCGAATCCTGTAAGGAACAATTGTTTGTATAGCCTATCATAATTGTTCCGAGTTAGAATGTTTATCCACATGCAAGTATTTATGTAAAATGTCACCATCAGGGGAAAATCCTAGTGTGTGGGCGATCTATATTTTTTCATATATCAAAATATACTTAACTATATAAATATAATACTTATAAAATATGATTTTACACGAAAGTTTATCGACCGAATTGGCAATATAATGAAAATGGGCCAAATTAAGAGTACCCTTAACCGACGAGCACGTATGCGTAGGTATATGGATGTGGAAGAAGCGAGGTGTGTTAGGATCGTGTCAAATGGAAGTCCGTACTCTCTGCCTACTCCTCAGGGTGACAGGCGTGAGTGTTTATGCATGATTTCATGTGTAAATTTGTATTTACGTTCCCACAAAGAAAGGCAGTCTTAATTATTATTATTGATAAAAAATGTACATTTAGAAAAAAAATTACCAATTATTTTCCTAGAGAAATAAATGAAACAGCAACATCGAGGGCTATAATACTACATTAAATAATTCTGTGTAAGGAAATCTGATGAAAAATCATCTCTCATTTACTGTGTACACACGGAAGATATGACTTCCGCTTCGGTCGTCTCCAATGACTTTACCATAAATGTTGCATGCTTATCACCGATAGCTGTTTATTTCATAATATCAACAATTCATCGCCTACATATTTTTTTATGTAAATTCAATAAATGCAAGCTAATTTTATTTTGTATTAGCTATTTTAGACAGACCACACTGGCCTTTTTAAATCAGCTGTGGTATAACTTCTGTTAAAAACTATTACGTTCGATTTTTAAATTTAAATTTAAAATCCGTTTCCAGGGTTAGTTAAAATATTAATAATTAAACCTAGCCAGGTTTCATTCCAGTTCAAAATATTAACGTTGCATTGTTGTCATTGTGCCAATGAAACATCTATGGAATTTCATTGTGCGCGGCCATCTTGTTTTATATTCAATAGGCATAGACAATTTGCATTCTTCCCGCGTATACTACGTTTTGACATATCACTCACGGCCGTGTGGCGAAATTGTCTCGATTAAGTAGGTTGATGGTTTATAGATTTATAGCTGTTATCATGAAACCTGGTTACCTAGTTTTTTTATTTTTATCGGAGGAATTCCCTACGTCAACCTAAGCCATTAAGAGTAGAGCCATGCTGCGGCTGTATTAGTATAACACCAGTACCAGTACCAGCTATACAAATAGGTTAGCTCGGCTGGAGAAGGACCAGGCTCTCACAGAATACCAGCGCAAAATAGCAGTATTATGCTCCTGTATTATGTTGACAACCGATGGGGAAAAAGGTTCTTGAGTGGCAGCCTCGTACCAGTAGGCGAAGTGAAGGGCGACCCCCTGTTAGATGGAGTCACGATGCAAGTGGCTCAAGACCGTGCTTTGTGGCATCCTTGGGGGAGGCCTATGTTCAGCAGTGGACTTGTGAAGGGCTGTAATGATGATGATGATGATGCTCCTGTATTTCGTATGACGAGTAACGAGAGCTGTGAGACGCTTTGTGAACGCATTTACATTTCGGTTCTTAAATGTAGAATTCTTAATGCCATTACGTGGATTGTGTGCTCGTTTATCACCCTTTCCTATGTAAAACACCTAGTCCTGTTATTTACAAAAAGAGACATGATGAACTGTATATTTACTAAGACTATGTCAAATACGGAAAACAGAAAGATTAGAGTTAAAATGAAGATCCTAGTTTAAGCAGGGATTAATGGTAGAAAGATGATGATGATATTGGAGGAGGTAGCTAAAATTTTTAAAATCCTTTCTTAACATGATTTTAAATAAAAATGTTTGCTATCTCTGGTTTTTCCAGAGTAATATTCACAATTAAACAGAGTATTTTTTATTCTTTTCGAGAGATTCCTCGTGATTATCGAATGTTTGGAATTTGTAAAAGAATAAATCAAAAAAACTTGTTAAGTGTTTTATTTGTTTTAACGTCATATTTGAGTAAAACATACGACGGCGAATATGGATTTAATTCGTCGAATTATCCTTTCTAACTCAAAGTGTCCTTGATTAAGGCAAAGCGAAAACGTACGCTTGGTTCGGCACAGATTCCTGTGTAAAAAGACGTATTATTTCGAGCAAATTCGATAGTTAATTGAACATGTTTTTTTTTAGAAACATATACACATCTACATTACGAAATGTTGTGAACACTAAACATGGGGTGTTTACCTATTATTAAAGGTGCACTTAGTTTATATTACTGTCATAGCAGTAAGCTTAAGTATTAGTATAAAATTTGTTGGTGAACCATATAAATAAATAAGTAATAATAGATTACATAGATTGCCTCATAGGGCGGGGGAGGGGGGGGGGGATATTTGCCATAGTTTCTACGCTTGCTGAATTTTTAATTTTAAGTCGTAATTATGAAGACGCTGCTGCACATTTGTCTCCTGATTTGTTTTCCTCTGTTGCCTCTTACGACACCCACGGAATGATATAGCGTAGTGAGTGTAGTGAGAATATTTACAGTGCCACTACATGGCACGTAATACGTATAGTTTTGAGCACATTCGATGGTTAATTGGACATGTTTTTTTAGAAACATTTACTAGGTATTTTTAACATATATTATATCAGTGGACTTTCAAAGACTATTATTATATATTATATATAATATTATTATATATTATATTGAAACTAATGAACTTTGTATTCTTTTCTTCGCTGGACTGGGATAATTTTGGTATTCGGTTGTGTTGTAATACAATTTACATTAATATTAAGGAGTTTATTAATATTTCATGAATTCCACTGTTTTCTTTGGAATTACTCATGATTTGAAAGTTCATATTAAAACAATAATAATTAGCCTAATTAAAAGAAAACAATCGTTTTTGGGCCCACTAGAAACTTTTTTATTTTTTATTACACATAGTAAAGATACCAATTTATTGTAGTAAACGGCCTAAAGATTTTATGAAAATGTAACCGGAATCATAAAATCTAAAAAAAAAAGTTCTTTTGATATTCGGAAATTGGCTAATGTAATATGAAAAAATGCGTATAAAGAAGAACGAGCTACTAAAAAAAATTCCATCAACCTTAAAGTACCTATAAATGCGGAATGTACCTACAACTTTCTTTTATGCTATTAATTATTGACCAGCACACTATTTTAATTTATAATACCGGTCGAAACTACTAGACCATCGTTTTTAGTTTCTTTTTAAGTTATTATGATATTCATAAGAAAATAATAATTAACATTTTAATTGTTTGTTTCTCAGTATTTCCGTTAGATACGATAAAACGAATACTACTATTCTAATCTATTGATTATAAGGAATAAATCGACATGTGTTTCATTAAGTCTGGTTAAGGTGGTGAGTCCATTCTCAATACAAAAAGAAATTGTCTGCTTTGACTAATTTCATCATCATCATCATCATCATCATTACAGCCCTTCACAAGTCCACTGCTGAACATAGGCCTCCCCCAAAGAATGCCACAAAGCACGGTCCTGAGCCACCTGCATCCATCGACTTCCTGCATGTCTTACCAGGTCGTCACTCCATCTCGTGGGGGGACGCCCTACACTTCGCCTACCGGTACGAGGCTGCCACTCGAGAACCTTTCTTCCCCATCGGTTGTCGGTTCTTCGAGCTATATGGCCGGCCCACTGCCACTTCAGCTTACTAATCTGTTGGGCTATGTCGGTTACTCTGGTTCTACTGCGGATATCCTCATTCCTAAGTCTATCACGCAGAGAAACTCCGAGCATAGCCCTCTCCATAGCTCGCTGAGCGACCTTGAGCTTCCTCATACGGCCAGCAGTGAAGGACCACGTCTCAGTTCCATAAGTCATCACTGGCAACACGCACTGGTTGTACAATTTCGTTTTCAGATTTTGAGGTATGTCTGACGAGAAGATGTGTCGTAGCTTCCCGAACGCTGCCCAGCCGAGTTGAATCCGTCGATTGACCTCTCGGTCGAAGTTGGACTTACCTAGTCGGACTATTTGTCCCAGGTAAACATAATCGTCAACAACTTCGAGCTTAGTGCTCCCAACAACTACCGGCATAGGTGTGACATGGACATTAAACATGATCTTTGTTTTGTCCATGTTCATCTTAAGACCTATCCGTTGGGAAACACTATCGAGGTCATTGAGCATAGTGCTTAGGTCCTCCAGCGATTCTGCCATAAGGACTATATCGTCGGCAAATCGAAGGTGAGTGATGTACTCGCCATTGATGTTGATACCGTATCCTTTCCAGTCCAGAAGCTTGAAAACGTCTTCCAATGCAGCGGTGAAG